AAAGGATGGGTTCATGTCCTTTGCAGGGACATGGATGAAGCTGGAAACCATAATTCTCAGCAAACTAACTCAAGAACAGAAAACCAAACACTGGGTGTTCTCACTTATGAGTGGGAGTTGAATAATGAGAGCACATGGACACAGGGAGGGGAACATCACACACTGGGGCCTGTCAGGGGGTGGGGGCCTAGGAGAGGGATCGCATTAGGAGAAATACCTAATGTACATGACAGGTTGATGGATGCAGCAAACCACCATGGCATGTGTATACCTATGTAAGAAACCTGCACGTTCTGCACATGCACCCCAGAACTTGAAAAGAAACCCTTATGCCCTAAAACATGTCTTCAAGAATAAGAGAAATCACGCCTGAGAGACTTCACAAGTTACATGCTTTCAGTATTCATAGTATGTTGGTTTATTTTTTTAGAGGCTTTCTGCTCCAGCTTCCTCTGTTCTCCAGACTATCTGATAACCTTTCATTATGCTTCTTACCAGTAACAAGCGTTATTGAACATCTATATGGTGCTCATTTAACTCTAAGGTCTGCCCTAGGTGCTAGCATAAAGTGGTGATTAGCACAGACACAGCCTGTCTTCACAGCAAGGAATACAACCAGCCAGCAGGTCGTTACCTGTAAAGGACATAATTACAAAATGCAAAGTGCAAATCATGGCATTAAATGTGCACTGAACAGTAATGTAGATCCTCCTGCTCCAAAGTACCCCTTGCTCTCCAGAAGTAACATTTTAGAAGCAAAGAAGTCTGTGTTAATAATTTAAAAACCTCTTAGGAGAAGGAAACTCTATTATTTCAGCATGATTAAAAAGTTGTCAGGTACAGTATTTGGAAAGGTAATGTGTCGTATAGCCATGATTTAATAGTGTAGCCCCATGATTAAGGCTTGTTTCTTGTTTGGTTTTGTTTTAATACAGGAGATACAGCAGCGACATGGATTAGCCAATTCCATTTCTTCCTACCTTATTAAACCGGTTCAGCGAATAACAAAGTATCAGCTCCTTTTAAAAGTATGTATAATGGCTCTTCAGCCTGTGAAATTTTATGAATTTTGTATTATTATTTTGACATTTACATAATTACCCTGAATTTTTTGAAACACCTAGTCAATTAATTTTACTTTTTAATTCATTAGTATTTATTGCCCTGCCTAATTTCTCATTGCAAGAGTTAAATGAGAGTATGTGTCATGATTATGGATCTGAACTGCACTGACTGACCCTAAACATAAAATGAGAAATCATCAGTTCTTGATATTTTAGTACGCTTAGTTCCCTGCTGTGGCTTGCTGACTGTGGGCCAGGTGTGGTGCACTTTGGTATGCTTTGTGTATGTTGACCTCCCAACAATGCTAGTCTGAGGGCTTGGAAACCAGCCTCGGACTGTAAGGAGCATGCCCAGAATCATCACTCACACCTGTTAACAGGCTCAACTCCGAACACAGAGCTGGCTGATGCCCAGGGCTTCCACTGAAGCCATGGAGAACCCACGCCCAGGAGGCTTCCTCTGTCTTGTTGCTTGTCCCTGATGTCACAGCCCTCACGGCACACCTTGTTCATACAGATCACAAGTATTGGAGACAGGGTGACCTCTGCTTTTTATTAATTGTGAATGACTATAATTAAAATCACATTTAGGAAAACAATAGCGATTAGTCTCGACAATAGAAAGGTAAACAAAACTTAGAATTCGTGCTAAGAGTTGTCACAAAATGTATTATGTACCATCAATACACGTTTTCTTGACTACGTAAAAATTGACAGCTTTTGTCTGGTAATGTTCAGCTTACCATTTTCTCAGCTGGTGAATGTTATTAAGCATTAAAATGTAGAAACCATGCATTCATCCCAGTAATGGTATTCTATGAATCCTGCCTTGTTCCGGATACTATCCTAGGCTCGACAACAGGAAGTTATTATGTAATTTGTCTAGATATGAAAGAAATTTGGAAAATAGAGTTACGAATACCTGAAACTCTTGTTTACCCTTTTTGTTAGTAAGAAAAATCTAGAGACAGTAGTAAGTGGCTACATTGTTTTGTGAAAGTGATACTATTATGGGATTTTTCTATTGGAAAAGCGCTCCTGTATTTTCATATCAAAATTCCATTAAGTGATTTTGTGACCATCCCTGCAGAAATATATAGTTGCTATAAATGCAAAATAAGTCAGAAGGCTAATTTGTTCGTATTCAGATTTGTCCTTTGCTTTCTAATTCTGCAGAGGCAGTTTACCTTTCAGTGTCTTCAATATGTAAGGATTTTGTTTTTAGCATGTAGTTCTACTAAACTGGTGCTTTAATTTGTGAACCTCACCTTCCTCTGCCAGAGGTTCTTCAGGAGAACAGTAATAAGCTCCCTTAAGCTCCCCAGCAAGGAAGATTTTCTGCCAGTTATCAGTTATTAGGCTCAGCACACTGCATTTGTGAGCAGCGTTTGCCATGCTGCTTAGGATCACAGGTAAACACCATCTGGTGATGAGGGAAGGTGCCCATCAGGCAGCTGAGTTGCTCTCAAGCAGCCTCTGGGAGACCAGTGCTGACTGCAGTGTCATACCTCTCTTTTGTCAACTTCCAAGACACAAAACACTGCTGTTGCTATTACTGACTGGTAGTAATGATTAATACACCAGTAAGAAAGTATCTTGGAGCCCACCAGAAGGTGAACTTATTGTTCCTGCGGTCTTTCATTTAATAACGGATGTTTCTCTAAATAGCTCTGAAATGTAATCACACACATAGGGCTCCCCAGAGAGAGGTAATTCAACCATTAGAGCTTTTCTAAACATCCTACGCGAAAAGGAAATGCATTTGCCTGTAAGTACTCACGCGGCGTTACTGTTTCTGCTGCGTGAGTTGGCTGGTCCAGTTTAGATGGGGTGTTGCATTCATGGCTCCAGGGTTCAAAGTCACGCTGGGATTGTGTGGTAAACGCACAGTTGGACCTGGCATGGCCATCAGCTGTAACCAGTAGCTGATCATGTGTTACACAATAATTAAATAGCTCTATCTTTTTTTTTTTTTTGGAGACAGAGTCTTGCTCTGTCCACCAGGCTGGAGTGCAGTGGCACAATCTTGGCTCACTGCTGCCTCCACCTCCCAGGTTCATGTGACTGAGTCTCCCAAATAGTTGGAATTACAGGCATATGCCACCATGCCCAGCTAATTTTTTTTTTTTTTTTTTTTTAAAGTAGAGATGGGGTTTTACCATGTTGGCCAGGCTGGTCTCAAACTCCTGATCCCAAGTGATTCACCCACCTCAGCCTCCCAAAGTGCTGGGATTACAGGCATGAGCCACCACACCCGGCCTCTGTTTATCATTTTTGAGGCTTGATTGTTAACAGGTATACTAATTTCATCTTAAACTACAAATACATCTGGCTTACTCTGATTAGAACAGGACAAACCCTGCCATCCACTGAATAAAGAGGTAGTCGTTCATTTCTATGAGAACATATGCCCAGTTGACCACACTCTGTTTTTATCTTGAAAGCCATGGCTTTCATAGACTGTTTCTGCCAAGGTCTCATTGACGGAGCATTCTGCAGTCTTTACCTAGTTTCTGGTGTCGATCTTTGCAGGAGCTGCTGACGTGCTGTGAGGAAGGAAAGGGAGAGATTAAAGATGGCCTGGAGGTGATGCTCAGCGTGCCAAAGCGAGCCAATGATGCCATGCACCTCAGCATGCTGGAAGGTAATGGACCCTCCATACCCCAGTATGCATTTATGCAGTTTCTAATGACACTGTTCATAAATGGATTTCCTGAACCCTAAAAATCCCAGCTTTATGTCTCTATGTCAGTGGTTAAGAACATGTCTTAAGGAATCGGTGTCATTGCTTTTCTTAAGGACCACATAAAATGCTTCTACACTCGTTGAAAGGGTTTTCTTGTCCCTTCACTGGAAAACAGTCTCTCCACACTCTGGACTCCAGTAGCATTTTGTGTCGCTTGCTGCAGGCCACCTGCTCTCCCTGTTAGGTGGATGGGTAGGTGGGTGTATGGATGGATCGAACCCCAGGACTGTAAAATCCTTAAAAGAATGTGTTGCTTCCCCATCTATGTATCTGTCGCATCACTTGCTAGAGCCTGGAACATAGTAGGCACCAGATATTTCCTTGTATCATTGAATTTGGTGTGTAACATGGTAAAGAGAAAATTAGATAAATATGTTTCAAAATTATAGCAATTATAATTTTTATAAATGCCTCTGTTTAAGAAAACTCTTCCTGTGGTGCAAAGCTTGGTTCTTGCCAGGCTACACAGGGTAAGTTATAATCCTGCCCCAAATGCTTTTGCTAGCCTGTGTCTTTATGGGCAACACTGAACATAGGTGCTGCTGTGGGTAATAAGACCCAAAACTCAGAGGCCAAGCAAAGCAGATTTTTCTTTCTCTGATATAAAATGCTGATCTGGTATGGCAACCCTTCATGATGTCATCAAGGACTCAGGCTGTGTTCCAGCTAGTTTCTCTCCATTCTAGTTGTTTTTCTGGCTGGCTAGGTCCAGGGTGTTTCAAGACCATGCCAACATTCCATCTAGCAGGAAGTGGGGAAGAAGGTCAGGGAGGGAACTCCGGATGGGCAGACACTAGCAGTGGTACCCGCTGCTGTGCTCACTTGCCCAGAGCATAGGTACCCGGCTGCTTTTAACTGTGCGTGGGGCTGGGAATGGAGTGCTTATTTTGAGCAGCCCTAGTGGGAGCTTCCACTATGAGAGGAAAAGGAGAGAGTGGAAGTCAGGAGGTAACGGGCAGCCTTTGCCCCGGGGCTGGCTTTACTAAGCCCTGGTGGCTTCATAACCAGGTGATAAAGCAGACCACTTCCATGAAGAGAGGAGCAGTAATGAAGTCCAGAGCCTGACTGATTCATGTGCAGAACGTCACATTCAGAGGAGGGAGGGTGCACCAAGCATGGGCAGCCGGGGACTTCTCCAAGAAGCAAGACCAGAGCAGGTCCTTGGAACAAGGCTGGACCTGAGCAGAATGTCTGGGAAGGATGCTCTGGGCTGACAAAGCAGAGAGAATCAAGACCGAGGCTGGAAAGTAGGTGGGGCTTAGAGGAGAGGCGGAACTGTTCCAGAGGAGGTTTACATGGTGGGATGCTGCAGAAGAGGGCTGAAGAGAGGTAGAGGGGGGAACCAAATCTCAGCTGTTGCGAAGGCCCACCGGAGGGACAGAACTCGAAGAATAAAGCCTTGAGGAATCGCAGAATGTTTCTGAACAAAGGAAAATGTATGTAAAGTGGTGTGTTAGGGAGACTTATCCTCCGTAGGATGGATCAGTGCCATGGCGTCAGAATCAGATGGGAAACTCTCATCTGGGGTTGGTTGGTGGGCATTTTTAAAATGTTGAAAATAGTAATAATGCTTTCTTACGCATCATTTATTTTTCTTTTAAATTGATTTGCTTCCCTTTCTTCATGTTGTAGGGTTTGATGAAAACATTGAGTCTCAGGGAGAACTCATCCTACAGGAATCCTTCCAAGTGTGGGACCCAAAAACCTTAATTCGAAAGGGCCGAGAACGGCATCTCTTCCTTTTTGAAATGTCCTTAGTATTTAGTAAAGAAGTGAAAGATTCCAGTGGGAGAAGCAAGTACCTTTACAAAAGCAAATTGTTTGTAAGTATAGGCGTTCAGAATTGTAAGTCTAAAGGTAACACAATTGCGGTCTTTTTGCAGGTGGAGAAGAATTGCTCATCGTCTTCAGTTTAACCTCCCAGTCTGTCCTGAAATGTGCAAGTCTGAATTGTGGTGGGGTTTTCATCTTTAGTGAATTATTTGCCACCCCCAAGTCCACTAGAGGGTGCTGTGGAGTTTATACATTTAGGAAACTTGCTCTTAAATCCCATATGTCATAACTGCAGGATAAGAAAACATTTCATAAGTGAAATCGTTTATCTCCGGTGTGCTTAACTAGCTTTATAAATAAAATAATCATATCTGTGACTAAGTTCTTACTATAATTAATTTTTCAACCATAAACATTGGAGTATATGCAAACAGCCTTACTGGGTGGCTCACTGTAGACTTGCCATGCTGAGGTTTGATGTTTTTTTTCCATTAAAAATAAATTTATGAAATATAAATGCATAAGTAAATTTATGGTTGTTTTATAACGGTGACATGTCATTGTTAGAGAAAATATACGTAAGCCAAAGTACAGTTTGAAAGATCCACAGCCCCAGCTATGTGGAGACAGCTGCCCCTGAGTGCTTGGCGAATGCGGTGATGCATTTTAATTCATACTTAACCTATCATTGTACTTCTTGGCAAGAGCCACATACCTGTTGCCATGTTGTGACCGCTAGCTAGCCTTACCAGCCTCTTTGTGAAACTGCGTTTCTGCTCGCTCTCAGAAAAGCCCAAGAGCAGCGTCGTCTCTGGATCCCGTGTGCTTCCATCTAACTTAGTGGGTCGTTTCTCAGAGGCTTATTCATGCAGGGTCGCTGGGCAGGGCCGGGCGGAGGGGACGATGGGGTGGCACTAAGGAGGAATCATCATCCGGAAAAGAATAGAAAATGCCAAGAAGGTGGGTTTGTTTATGGCAGATCTCTTATAAATACTGGTAGATGTTCACAATTTGGACAACTTACACATCATACTTTTTGTGATGTCCATATATAATGAAATTTCTCAAGTAATAAAACGTCTCCAAGTATGGAAATCTTCTGAATAATAATCTGGAAATCACAGGTCCCAACTGATGGTTTTCATACCATTTTGTTTGGCTTCCGTCCTGTTTGAGGTCGTCGTTTGGATTACAGCTTGCTGACATCATTTTAGGTCACCTTCTGACTGAAAAGAAAACAATGCAACGTTGCTGGCTAGTGATTTCATTAGCTGGCTTGCATCTGCCTTTAGAGACCAAGCTCATCTGTTTTAGCAGCCAATATATCTTCACTTAATTTATCTTTTAGAAGTTAAGATTCCCTCAGAGGCCACCTCTGGAGCTCTGGATGATGAATCACTTCCTTTGCTGGGGTGGAGAATGCATCAGGGGGACCTTGACTATGGGGGAGGAGCTGAAGCTATTGACCTTTCTCTGCATGCTTCCATGTTCTGCATATATTACAGAGGGACTTCGCCTCTTAGCCGTTAAAATTACCGATCAAGTACTAAAAGCTAATGCTATTGATAAATTGCAAAATAACTAAGCTGTTAAAGCATCATTTGCCCTCTGGGAAGCTGCATCATTAATGCTGAAGAGAACATGGTGGCAGCCCTTTTGCAACCAGGAAAGACTCATTTTGCAGTTTGTTGCTTGTAAGATTGCAAGTAGTCAGATCTTGATTGTCAGATAGGATTTTCACGTGTTGGTTTCCTTCCCCTGAATTTTTTGCCTATTGACCTGCACTGGGGTCTCCAATAAGAGATGCTCACAGGAAGTGAAGGAGGAAACCAGTGACCTGTAGCCTAAGAACACAGTGTCCTCATTATAACTCACACGAGAGCTGAGATCACTAGCAACGTTCTTATAACCTAACATGGCCACAAGTAACCACAACTTGTTTCCTTGGTCTCTGTTCTGCATCTTTCCAGAATTTTACTGTCACCTAATTATATAATTGTCTTTTTGTCCAGACCTCAGAATTGGGTGTCACAGAACATGTTGAAGGAGACCCTTGCAAATTTGCACTGTGGGTGGGGAGAACGCCAACTTCAGATAATAAAATTGTCCTTAAGGTATGTTCATTTGAAACTCGAACTGTGCTGTGTGAAATGTTTACTGTGGCCAGCCATGCTTGCTTTTCCGTTGTTAAAGTATACTGGTTTTCATATTATTTTATTATTATTTGTTGGTGGTGGGGTGTGTGTGTGTGTTTGTTTGTGTTCTATTCAGATTGGTGACTACCTCAAAAAGAATAGTGGAATAAATTCAGTTAGATGTTCTGGTGATGAAACAATTTGAGCTGAACTTTCACTTGACTCCTGAAAGGACAAATGAAGCAAGGTCTTTTTAAACTTCTCCCATTCTTCTAGTCTGGGAATTCATTGACTCTGTAAGAGATGCCGGAAGTCAGGGTACAGGAGGAATGAGATACTGACCAACAACTCTCATTGCGCACTTGACGTTCTGTTTCAAAAGGAAAAAGTCACCTGGTGCATTTGTGAGGACCTGCGACAGGAAGTTGAGGCCAGCCATACCCACAGTCCTTACAGGGTCGTCAGCTCTGTGGCTTAGTCGTTTGGGGACAGAGGGAAAGAGGAATGATTATTAGTGACAGGGTTTGATACTGTTACGATTTAAAATTCAAAACCACTAGGGATGCTTTAGGTTATATAGTCTTTGGAGGAGGAAAATATCTTGGAATATTTGATTTGAACTCTTTGTTTTGATTATACTAACCTCTCCTGGGAATGATCAAGAGCTCTGAGGTTGTCTTATGTATTTCCCTCCTCTGTGTTTGAGAAAATACAGATGGAACTTTTGGAGCCATCTGGAAATGCCATCAGCGGCTTTGGGATGTTTGGGGGATGGTGGAGCTAAGGTTTGTAGAATACTGGGAGATGAGCCAGAGTGTAATGGGACTCTGGTGTATGAACCTGCATGTCACCCCTTGTGTCTCTTGCATGCCTTTTCATCTCTTTGGAATTTTCAGTGACTGTGAGTTACTCCCCTGTACATCAACCTTCTAGATTGTGTTCTTCAGTGGAAGCCATTGTATTCGTAAGATCTTTGTTCATTTGTAATAGTGGGTTGTTTTGCAGTGAATATGTGATTACCAGCCCAATGTGTTCTGGCTAGTACTGGCATAAAGCCCTGTTTGATATAAATTGCACTGATAGCTAAATTTAAATAACTGTATTTTCTTCCTAAGGCCTAACATTTTAAGGTATACTCGAAACCTGAAAACTTGCAATTTGTATAAACCACTTATCCAGGCTAGCTACAGTGGCAGATGCCAAAAGGTGCTTCCAAAAAATAGTGACAGATACTTTAGCCAGATCTGGACTTTCATTTAGGATGTCACAAAATGCTCATGGTACCGTTGACAAATAAGACCTTTCTCAGGCTTTGCCAGATAAAAGTTTTCTTGGGAATTTTGGGTAATACCTTTCTGACTTCCAAGGAGAAAGTAGAGGAAATGATACTCTCATTAATTTCAGGGATTACTGTGGGGCGTTGGTGTAGTAAGGCAGGCGATGGTGATGGTGGGAATGGTAGTGTAATGATGGTGTAGGTGGAGGTGGTGGAGACAGTGTGGTGGTGGTGGCGGTGAAGGTTTAGATGGCAGTGAGGTTGGAGATGGTGGTGATACGGATTTTGGTGGTCACGGTGGTGTAGATGGTGGTGAGAGGGTAAGGGTGTAGATGAAGGTAGTGGTATAGATTTGGTGATGGGGGTACTGGTACAGATAGTGGCAATGGTGTAGATGGTGGTGATGAGGGTATAGATGGTGGTGGCATAGACTTTGGTGGTAAGGTTGTAAATGGAGGTCATCGTGTAGATGTTGGTGGTAGTGGTAGTACAGGCAGTGGTAGTGTAGATGGTGGTGAGGGTTTAGGTGTTGATGGTGACGGCATAGATGGTGGTGGCACAGATTTTGTTGGTCTAGATGGTGTGGTGAGAGTGTAGATGGAGATAATTTAGATTTTGGTGGTAGTAAGATTGGAGATGGTGGTGAGGTTACAGGTTGTGGTGAGGGTGTAGGCAGTGGTGGAAGGAGAGGTATCGTGCTGCTGGTGTGCTGATGGTGGTAGAGAACATGATGGGAATGGTGGTAATGGTGATGATGATGTCCTCGTAGTTGTAAAACAGAATTTTGGTTATTTTCACTTCTCTAGTCTGGAAAGGAGAATTTTATTTTTAAGTCTTAAACAGATTGTGACTACCCAGAGTATGAAATGAACTATCCCCTCTCTTAGCCAGGTAGGACCTGTATTTAGTACTTTACCTCAATTACCTTTCTCTTACTACTTCTGAAAAATGTACATCTTTTTTCCTTGTTTAATTTCTTTAAGGTTAGGAGAATTACTCTCTGTAAGTGTAACGATCAATTCATATGAGAATTTTCTTTATTTCTCAACCATATTAACAGTTTTCCTCAGCTGTTTTCAAACTCTGCCAGATGTTCTTTTGTGGGGACTTCTCTTTAGTTAACCTTCCAAATACTTTTATCAGGCATTTAAATTCCAACTGATTTATAGTTTTTAGAAAAGTTTCTTCTCCTGAGTCACTTACTTTGCACACCCATTCCCTGGTCCCCTTGCCTCCTTCTGCCCCCCCTCCCCAGAAGACATTGGTTTTCCTGCTGTCCTATGTCACTTGGGGAAGAGGGAGCAAGAGGCTGCCTTTGCCCATCATTTTTTTCCCTGTCACTACCTGTTAGTAACATTAAAGACATGTCCTCTGGTTAAAACGGTTCCTATAGAAAGAGGGTGTTTAATTTTAATTTCCTTTCCCAACATGGGCTTTGATTTTCTGTTTTCAAAAACAGGATACACAGTGAGAAATGCTGGGTACTCCCCGCTTTGTGACCTCACCTGCGATGAGTTATGACAGTTAGGGGAATTATAACTGCAGGGAATTGCGCTGATATCACGGGAGGTTGATACTTTCTGTGAGGAAATTAGAAAGCTGTTAGTAAGGCCCAGAACATGTAGAAAGAAAGAAAAACAAAAATACCTCCTTTGAGGCAGAGTTTAAGAAAAAGTCTGGATCAAGTGATGCCGTACGTGCTCACTCTGCAGGTGCTTGCTGAGAATCTAGTCTGTGTCGTTCTCAGAGGACATTTCTTCAGAATTCTAATGGAGTCGAGGTGAATCTGCCATCGGGGATTGGCAGTTGGTGAGCTTGTGACATTGGGCACATTTCTTCTGTCCACACCTCTGTTGCTCATTTATGAGACAAGGCCGAGGGAGTCTCCCACCCACAGGGCCCTGACGGGAGTGGATGACAGCATGCGGGAAGCCCTCGGCCAGGCACAGGGGGCTGGAGGTGGCGGCAGCTGCGCCGCTGTTCCTGAGTCCTGCAGAGGAGGCCACAAGGCTGTGGAGATTTGTTCAGTTTCCTGCTGGCAGTTTGCCCGCTGCTGACCAGTGCACAGTGTTTGCATCAATAGCCTCAGAGGCGTTTTGGTGGCGGTGAGGGTGGCTGTGTTGGTTTATTTGCCCAGGGCTGCTTAAAAGGTCTTGGGACTGGAGAATGATGGATTATTGCAATAGTCAGAGATCTGGAGTAATACACATGCTATAAAACAACAATGGTTCTGATGCAAACATATTTTTTAATAGTCATTTGATTTGGTAGCAGATTAAACATAGGATGTGGTTGCTTTTCTTCTGAAAAGTCATTTTGAAAAAAAACCTGGGTGTGGTTAGCGCAAGTTCTGGAAAGGGCTCTTCCATATCCTAAGCAACACTAACACCTTGTTAAGGCTTCCAGTATAGAGAACAAGCAGGACTGGATAAAGCATATCCGCGAAGTCATCCAGGAGCGGACGATCCACCTGAAGGGAGCCCTGAAGGAGCCCATTCACATCCCCAAGACCGCTCCCGCCACAAGACAGAAGGGAAGGAGGTGCGTGCCTGGGCGCCCCTGGAGGTTTGTGAATGTGGGAGGGAGGGGCGAGGCGGTGTTAGCTCACCCTGCTTCAAAAATCATTTCTCTCAAACATTTTGAGGAATGTGTTTTGAAAACTGCCATTTGTGGATAACATTGTTCTTAGTAATGAAACTGTTTTGTCAAAGATAAGAGCTCCTGTTGGCTTAGAGTAAACGAAGGGCTGTAATACGCAAACCCCTCATTGTTTTGCCTTTCTCACCCCAAGCACCGTACAGGGCGCATGTCTAAGCCATGCACATGGCCTTGGGTAAGTTATAAAGCATCGAGATGTTGTTGTTTTCGCATTTTTAAAATGGCAACAATCATATCAACCATATTTTATGATGATGGGAATCCAACAGGATGATATATTTTAAACACTCAGCACAGGGCCCAGCAGAAAGCCTGTGCTTGGGGTAAGGTGCCTTAACCATTGTCCACATCCTGGCAGCAGCAGACACTCGTGAAGGCTGATATGCACCTCATTAAACAAACCAGTTGCTTCTCCAGTGACTGGCAGCTAGCTCAGCAGCGTCAGGAACTAAAAGTTTCTTTGCACCGCCAGGGATGGAGAGGATCTGGACAGCCAAGGAGACGGCAGCAGCCAGCCCGATACGATTTCCATCGCCTCGCGGACGTCTCAGAACACGCTGGACAGCGATAAGGTGAGTCGTCGCCGGCACTTTGTGTGTGGCGGGGAATGTGGCTGGTCTCTGGCTGAAGCAGCCCCCTCCTTTCTGTTACTCACCGTTTGTCGTCAACATTTTCAAGCAGTTGATACATGCCAGGAGTGGTGCCAGGATCCTCTGGTGGGGCAGAAACTTGGGGGATTGGGGTGAGAAGACTTGAACCCTGAGGATTCAGGAGAAATCATTCAACTCTTTCCATCCTACCCTTTGCCAGTGCCAAGGGTATTACAGGACATTCGAGGGCAGCATACTTAGGCTTTTTAATCTTACTCCTAAGCAGAAGAACCTATCGTTTAAAATAAAATCCTACACAGAACGCCAGCGTGTGTTTTAATGTGGGATCTTTAAGCTGGACAGCACCCCTCCAGCGACTAGGAGAGACACAAGATAAAAATAAAGAGTGTTGCCTACAGGTTCTGGGGGTCACACGGCACCCCCGAGGACAGGGAGCATACGGGGACGGAGGAGTCCTTGGGCCAGGCTCCTTATTGGGTCCAGAACGTTGTCCACACAGGTTTGGCACAGGGCGTGTCAATCAGTGGGCTTAGAGCAAGCAGGCATGAGTTTCAGGAGGTCATTCTGTGACTAGGAAGTTGTCACTCTGGCATATCTGCACAGTCCATATGAGGTGCGAGTGTCGGCAGGGCCAGTTAAGCAGGTTTTATGTGGCTGTCCCTTAGAGGAGTGATCACCAGAAGGAAGTTCTGTGAAGCAGAGATCAGGACCGACCACAATAAGGGCCTGGGAGGACATGCTCCTGGTATGAGAAAGTCCAGCTTCTCTGGGTTCAGAGTGATGTCAAGGCAACGTAAAATAGTAAGAACTCACAGCAGTGTAGAAGCAGAGCTGCTCTGATGGAAGTGGGGGCTGTGGCCCTGGGATGCCCTCTCAGAACCATAGGGTGCAGCAGAACATAGAAAACCTGCCCTGAAATTGGCAACAGTGATGACCACTGTGAACTAGATCTGATTTTTATCAAAAAAGTTTGTATAGGTTTATCTTCTTCAAAAGCAGTCGAGAGTATCTCATGATTTTGTCTGATATAATCCAAAAAACCCACAAAGTAAATTGCTAGTAGAATTTGGATTCCTAGGTTTACGTGATGGACAAAAGACAAAATGTTCTCTGTCAGAGCCAATGGGGAACACTGATCTTAGTGAAGTCGTCTGTTCCTGCCAAGATGAGTGTGTTCTGTTATGTTCCTGGAATGCTGGACTGAGTTCTTTTTTAAAAAATTGACAGTAAATAGGGTGTTTGTTTATCAGCCCAGAATTACTGAGCTTCTCATTCTCCGATGCAAGTCGGACCTCATTTCATGAGACCTTTGTCCCCATCATGAGACCCGCGAGTCTGTTCTCTGCACATGATTTCCGCAGCCCACTCGTTGGTAGGAAGGACCAATGCCCTGACCTCACTGTCCTTGGGAATTGCTTCAGATGGAGGACAGAGTCCAGTATTTGGAAGGTTATTTCCGTGGCACATCTTTTAGTCCCAGACTGGCCTTTTCTCGCTTGGTTTTGCAGAAGGATTCATGATACTTAATGTTCTAGTTTCTAGGACAGGAGTAAGTAGATTTAAAATACTGCTCTGCTGCAGTGATTTCATTTTCAATATCCTAGTTTAAGTGATTAGTTTTTTTCTCATTATACTTTTTGGGTCACTAAATAATAGATCCTAGGACTTAGAGTGGTTAGAATGACAAGACCAGAGAATAAAAAGAATTTATCATTTTATTTTGTTCAAGGCCCTATGTACTGGCATTCAGCAAATATTTCTTGGCATGTAGTAAAAAGAAATAAGATAAATGACATGTTCAGGCATCTGGTACCTAATAGCATTTCTCCCCGAGACCCCACCTATGGCCATTGAGGTTAAAGAAATAAAGTTTGAGCTTGGAAACACTTTGTTAGAGTAATATTGATCATTTTTTAAATTTTATTTTACTTTTTAGTAAAGTAATCAAGGGGATTGTCTGGTGAATTTACCTGAGGCTGCCACCTGAAGGGAAAGTCGAATCATAGTTGCTCAAGTGTGCGGGAAAGGGGCCTGCATTCAGGGTGTTTCCAGACTGTTTGAGATCACCATCAAGCCCCACATCCCGTTTTTATAAGACAAACTCCTAGAGGTCTGCTCTGGATTTACCCTAGACATGAGTTCAAAAGTTTATTCTTTTAAAAAAAAGTAAATTTTTTGAACGAAATTGCTAAAGAACTAAGTGGAAAAGTTAGCTTTGGAAGGTTCCTTTTTTGGAAGTTGGTCTGAGAAGCAAGGCTAACTTGTTTGCTCGGGTAGTTTACAGATAAATGGGTGCCTGGGAGTCTGGAAATGACCCCCGTATCCAGGAAGGGGCTCTGGAGTCTCCAGTTCATTATTCCAGACAGAGTTACTGGTGCCACGACTCATCTCCTGTGTGTGGAGAATTCCTTGGCTGGTACCCACATCCTCTGAGCCCCAGCACAGCCCTGGCCCCTAAGGCGCATGGCTGATTAGGATTCCCCAGCCGCTTGGACAGAACGAAGTCTCTATCGTGGAGTTAGGAGTAGTGAAATTAGCATGACTTCACATCTGTTATAGCATAATAGGGAGGGCTTATGTGAACTGGGAATACAGCAAATTGTATTTGTATCCAACGAGAGAGGAAGAATAAATCACTACCAGAAAAGTATAGGTTTGCCAAAAACAAAAACAAAAAAAAACCAAAAAAAACCCACAAAAGCATAATTTTACCCTAGCAGTCCACTAGGGTATGAAAATGTTAAGAAAACTCCCTGTGAGTTACTCTTATCTGTGAAGATATTTTACCAGTTTCTCTTGACCTCATCGGATGTGTTGTCCCTAAACTTCACTCCTGAGCTCAGAAATCCCTGAAGGGTCTCTCCTGCCAGTTCCACCGTCACCTCCCTGGCCCGGCTCCTGGGAGGCTCTTTCTTACCGAGGACCACAGCCTGCCATGCAGCGACGCTCTCCCTGGTATTCTCATGGTTGTTAACCGTCTTGAAGGAGTGACACTCCAGACTCAGTTTCTTAGACAGGCCTGGAGAATTTTCTTAATGCCACTTGCTGAGAGCATCGGTCCTTAGTAGGCTCTAAAGAACAGAAAGGATGAAATGTCGTCTCATGAGAACAGAACCACAGGGGATGTCTCTTCCGTTCTGGAGACCTGCATTTGGGATTAAACGGTGTATGAGACTTGCCAATAAGTCAGAATTTGGAATTTGGAGAGAACATACCCATACAGCCTTACCAAAAAGAAGGTGCCCTTTTGCTCCCCATGTGTGCCTGCGTTTGTGGGTGCTCTGCTTTTGTGAGGTTTTCTCTTGGCCATCTCCCTCCTTATGCCTCTCCAGTAGAACAGTTGAGGGTCAGTAGATGACTCAAAAATACATTTTGAAAATCAGGGACTCCATCCTTTCCCTAGTCAGTTTGCAAAATGCCCTGTCCCTCTGAACTGGGCTTAACCAGCAACCCCATCTCCGGTAACAGTAATTTTCCTGAGTCTCAAAGGTCTTTCTGCCCTATGTAGTTTAAGTTTAAGCAGCCTCTGATAGCGCAGGCAGATGGATCTGGCAAGGGAAGTCACTTAACGACATTCTGCCTGTTTGACTTAATTTATGATGTCTGTTATTAGTTAGTTGTTATCATAAAATTTGGTTTCATTTGAGAAACTGGGTGGGGGGATGTTTTTGACTCGGCCTCTTGGAGAATTCTGAAGGCAAAAGTTATCTGCCAGGGCTGTTAGTAATTCTCAGATGAGGCACACAAGGTTTAGGGAGAGTCTGAAGGAGGGGCCCTAGAGACGCCCTCTTTCCAGGGAGCACTGTCAGCAGAGCGGGGTTAGCTGGGCCACGGCCATGAGCCACAGACCCCAGCAGCACGTTTCCTACTTTGAAAACATCAGTTTTAAAATATGCCTTCTCTTTGTTCCAGAAGTAAGTTTAATACTGATTCTTGCTGATCTCCATGGTACTTTTAGCCTGATACAATGATCTTATGAAAATATAATTTGGATTCCAAAGAAATCAAGCGCTTTCCAGATTCTTATCTCATCTGTTCTGAGTGCATCTCCCTGCGGTAGGGAGGAGAGCGCTGAGCCAGGCCTGGGGCACTGTAGAGAACCAGGCCCTCTGCAAGGCCTCCCAGCAGCAGAGGGCCACAGCCAGACACGGAACATGCATTTAATCATCTGTCATTTTCCAGGCCTTATTATTTCATGCAAGAGCTGAACTTGGAGCTCAGTATTTCTACTAAAGATGCATCTTTAAAAAATGTTTTCCCTGTCTTTCCCTTTTAGTCTGTGATTTATAATCATTTAACTAAAATCCATATTACAAAGGAAATAGAAAACATGGGACTCAAACTGTGTTGTAGAGCAAAGCATCTTGAGGCCAACATGGAGAAATGGCTGAGCTGAGCTGAGGTATCCTGTGGAAAAGCCGGCCCGAGCCAGCAGGGCCCAGGTGTGAGCTGTCTTTCGAATCTAAAGCCGTATGGTTCTTATTTCTAATGAGTGAGAAATTCCATTGAGACTGATAACTTCGTGTGGAACCCCCTTCCCAAGCTTATAACCATGAGTATATGGATTCACGTATTTAAAAACATAACTGGTTTCAGTCACACTTTTTTTTTTTTTTTTAAATTCCTGAGGCAGGGTCTCACTCTGTCGCCCAGGCTGGAGTACAGTGGTATGATCAGCATCACTGTAGTCTTGAACTCCTGGGCTCAAGTGATCCTTGCCTGGCCCCCCAGGTAGCTAGGACTATAAGTGTACACTACTATGTCTGGCTAGTTTTGTTTTATTTTTGTAGAGACAGGGTTGCACTGTGTTTCCCAGGCTGTTCTCAAACTCCTGACCTCAAGCAATTCTCCTGCCTCAGCCTCTCAAAACGCTGGGATTATAGTCGTGAGTCCCACTGCATCCAGCCAGTTTCAGTTATTCTTAATGAAGCCTTAGCACTATGTTGGAGACATGAGGTTCT